TCTATGAATAATAATGAGTATACTAATTAACCTGTTTACCAATAAACTATATAACAATATAATCTATATAGCAATTAACAGTTCCACCATGCATGATTGTTATTCTGCAGTCTCATTCAGAGCCTAGCACCTGATGATTGAGGAAGTACCTCATGAAACAGCCTGTATTGCAATAAAATGTTGAATTTGTAACCAAGCGTCATCTTGTTTTGATTTTATATATATATATATATATACATATATACACATACTTATATAGATAAAAATCATCATACGGCATACGTTAGTATTGTCCTGGTTGAGGTGTATCTGCAATATACCAGCTATGACAGCGAGAGTTCCTGGGTTCAATTCCCAACAGAGGCACTTTTTCAAAAAAACTGAAAAGGAACTTTTGTTGATAATACGACCTTTACATCATTGTTCCCTTATTGGAGCACTGTTCTTACAACTTCTACCATAAACATGTAAAATACACTTAAATGAATATTATTTTAATAATTTTTTACCTTGCGACTCTGTTAATTATTGGTGCAAAGTTGGTGGGGCCATGGAGTTGCACTTGAGGAATACAGTTTCTGTATGCCCCCAGAATTCCTTCAACGCCACCACAGAATGGATTCTGGTAATTGAAATTCTAAAAGGAACAAAAAAAAAATATTCAGGGTGATCATTATAATCTGGATATTCTGCAGAATCAAATGTAACACATAGAATAGATTAATGATGTCGTTGAAGGTTATTATGATGTAAAAACATTGTAAAATGTTTTTTTGGACATCTAAAGTTCCATACATTAGTCCTGTGTGGAGAGCCACTTGACTCATTTTATTTTTATAACATTTTAACATCCTGCCGTATAGTTTTGCATAGAGTTCATAATATTTGCATATGATAAAAAGGCAAAATTATGATATTGAATGATAACCACAATGGGCTATATTTTTAGATAAAATGAACTTTAAGTTACTAAATTAAGGCACTGAAAAGCATTTTCAAAACATGAAAGAACAATTTTTGGCCATTTAGATGCAATAATCTTAAAATGCCTAATCTAACAAATTATCCCAGATTGTTTTATCATCTTGCCTATTATTTTATCATATACAAGGAAACTTCATTCATATTTCATATACTTAAAATAATAATATAATTCATTTATATAATTACAATAAAATGTATTCATACTTGGACAAATGTTCTAATTGTAACATACCACGGGAAAATCATGGGAAATCCTTCCATCAGGAGGAAGCTTTGCTCCAAAGCCGAATACTGGGAAGAGCTTATCCGTGTCATACTCTTGAATGATCAGGCCCACTGATTGGATGGCTTGCTCGTACTGGTTAGGAATATGAGGGTTAATGTGATGCAGAGAATTTGGGGCTTGTGGGGCACCTAAAAATAAAATTACAAATTAAAAATTGTAAAGTTAAAAGACTTAAACTATCCTAATTTCACCATCATCTTAACCATCATGATTAATACTATTTTTCAACATGGAAAGCTTAAAGTCACTCCAATAGTGTTTTTCACCAAGGCTGTGCAAGGCCATAATTGGTAACAATTTAGGTTAATGTGTCATTACAAACCATTCTAGTTATGTCTGGTTTCCATAAAATCACTACACGCCATCACCGACTCCTTTGGCGACGCTGATTGATCAGCTGAATCAAAGAGCGTTCCTGATTGCGTGGCAGGGACAGCTACGCAGTGCAAAGATTGTAGTGAAAACACTGTAGCGACTGTGTAGTGATGCAATAGAAAACAAGCATTATAGTAATCATTAATTCCAAACCCCCCCCCCCTTTCAATTCCAAAGCATCATGATATTATCAAATACTGAAAATCAACTGTAAGCTTACCATTGGAAGCAGTGAAGTCTATGGCCACCACAAAACTAAGCTCCATCCCTCCTTGAATGTAATCCAGGAATGAAAACATTTTTTGTACCCGACAGCTCAATAGTGATATAGTACCATATGTCTTGCCCTTCTTCTTACTCTTCTCTTTGGTTAACTAGAAAAGAAGAGATTAACAAAAATAAAAGTCCAATATTTATTTATGGAGTTTATAGGATGTTTTACCCAACTTGATGTGTTATACTTAACAGTCCCTGACAATATCATTATTATAAAATATTATCATTATTATTAATTATCATTATTACTTATTTATTTATTCTTTAGACTGCATACACTTTCAGTACTTGAGTACTGATTTTCAAAGTGGTACAGTTACAAACAAACCATGAAATAGAAAGAAGATAATACAAAATAAAGTCAAAAGAAGATTCAATGTAAAACTTAAAAATTAATAGAATGTTGGAATGAAACTAGGGTCATTTCTTTAAAGTTAGTTTTTGTTTCGTTTGAAAGTTCATTCCAACTTTTTGAGGCACAATATAAGAAAGTCCTCTTACCTTGGCAGATATTCCAAGGTGGTACAATTAAATCATTATGCATTTGGCTACGTGTGCATTTTGAATGTATATCATGATTAAAATTAAATTTGGATGTTAGGTATCAAATACCTTATATATGTTATCTGTTTGACTTCCTTCAATAAACCTCCGCATGTTGGTCTTGAATTCACCAATTAAATCAATACTGAAAAAAAAAATAGAAAATATAAACAAAGTTTAAAAATAATTTATATTATAGTACAGTAAAAATAGTCATTTAGGTAAATACAGTCACAGTAAAAAGGTTAGTTATTTAGTTGCCAGACCATTTTGTATGTTTACTGTTTTCAATAATGCTTAGGGGCAGATCCACACTTAAGAGTCCTTATCCAGTCTGCTGCCCTCATGCACAGCAATAGACTAAAACATACCAGGACAGTTATTTTTTTTTTTTTTGCAGTTATAAATTCAGATCTTCTAATTCATTTAACTACCATACAACATAGTTACCAACTGTCTTGAATCTACTTGGAAATAGCAAGGACAGTGAATATAAATCCAAACACTCACTGATTGATTGATAATTTGATAAATTTATTGATCAATTAATAGGTCAATTGATTTTTTTTCAATTCAATTCAAAAATACATTTATTTTCTTCCATTTGCAATTGAATAACAGAGTTCATTAAAAATGATAGGTTTGTGAAACAAAATAATTGTTGGTTTGGAGATTTAATAATTGATTTGATATTGACTGAAGTATCTAGTGATTGATTGATTTTTGATGGATTGATTTGTTGATTGCCTAATTGGTAGGTTAGTTGATTGATTGTGTGAATTAATAATTATTTGATTGATTGATTGATTGATTAGTGATAGACTAGTTGGTAAGTCAGTTGAGAGATTTATTGAATGGATAATTAATGTATTGATTGATTGTGTGAATTAATAATTATTTTATTTATTTATTGATTGATTGATTGATTGCTTGCTTAGTGATAGACTAGTTGGTAAGTCAGTTCAGAGATTTATTGAATGGATAATTAATGTATTGATTGATTGTGTGAATTAATAATTATTTTATTGATTTATTGAATGGATAATTAATGTATTAATTGATTGTGTGAATTAAAAATTATTTTATTGATTGATTGATTGGTAATTAATGTATTGATTGATTTATATTTATTGATTAACTGTTGATTGACTTTACCTGCCATCTCTGTTCCAATCACAGCATTCTACTTTGATAGTTCTATCGAGGTCTGCATTACACAGAGTTCTCAGAGGCACCGTGAATGGTTTCCACACTGGATTCAGAGTATTCTTGATAACATCTGTTCTGTATGCCACTGTAAAACTTTACACAAAACACAATGATATCAAGAAAACAAATGATCTTGATGGTATAAGTAAAATACCTTATTAATTACACATTTTTTGTGTGTAAAAACTTCCCTTGAAAATTAATTAGACAGTTCATTCCTACAATATATTACCCATTTATTTCCAGAAATAATTCTTATGAAAGTCAAAAAGACAAAAGATGATTTTATAACTGTCTCGTGAAGATTAACTTCTTGTAATAAAAACAAGGATGTGGTATAAGATTCATAATCAAGCAACGTATACACAATTTAGTATGTAAGAACAAACAAACCTCATATTTTCATTGCAGCGATAGAAGATGAGGTATGGGTCAGATTTACCGAAAAGATCTTTCTTGGCTAGCTTTATGCCCTGAAACTGCATCTGGGCTTCATCCTGCTGAATAACAAATTACATGTTCTAAATATTAAAGTTTACCAAACATTTGTCATCAATAATTCAATAAAAAAACATAAGTCAAAGTATTTCATAACCTATTTATCATAATTTGATTTTTTTTTTTAATAGAAACTTTCAGCTTGGCATGAAATAAATACTAGAACATTCTTAAATGCTGTAATGCCTAAAAAGACCAATAACCAGGAATATAACAGCAGCGTTAAGAATATGATATAGGTATGTCCAAAAAACATTCTTTTTTTTGCGAACTTTGGATGGGCTTCTTTTTGAAATGGGCCTTTTTAGGAGATTGGCTCCTTTTCGCAACTACTTTGCAAAGTAAAGGGGGGAGGGGGGCTTCTTTTCAAAATGAATGCTGTAAATTTTGTGAATTTGTACTATAAAACAACAAATAAGGCCACTGTAACATCCATCTATATCATGGAATGTATTCAACTGGTATTAAATCACAAAAGTATAAACCAAGCTTATATTTAATTTAATTTGTTTCCTGAAATTCATGTACAGTCTATTCCCCCATGGGATTTTCAAGGCTGATTTTGCAAACTAAAGATGGGGCTTCAATTCGAGATGTACTTGATCTCAAGATAAAGCCCACTGGGCTTCATTCAAGGTATTACGGTATACATATTCAACATCAGTTTCCTACCTTGCAGGAGCTCAATTCTTCATAAGTGATAATAATAGTTCCATACTTAGTTTGATTGCTCCTGAAAAAATATTATTATAAATTAAGATAATACAGTACAAACATTATACAAATTAAAAACAATTATAAATGTAGAAAAAGGTAGGAAAATAGCCCAAAACCTCATTGTGCTCAATGTATGGGGCTGAAATTAAAAACACAGCATCATAGTTCTATACTTAGTCTAATTGTTTCTGGAAAAAAATATTATTATAAATTAAGCTAATAGAGTACAAACATTATAACAATGAGAACAATTATAAAATAAAGGTAGGAAATTTGTAGGAAAATAGCTCACAACTTGCAGCGTCATTGTGCTGAATTGCATATTGGACTGAAATTAACCACAGCATCTGGGCAACCCCCTACTCTTCCAAAAGATGCAATGGGTTCTTTAAAGTACACATGATCCAGATGACTTGGTTCTACCATGGAGGAAATTATTTTATTCCTCCATGGTTCTACACACTGAACCCTGGACGAAGAGTGACAGGAACCAGTGCCAATATTGCAGCTGGGGGTAACTCGCCTAATAACAATTAACACAATAATACCAATAGAAGAATTATAACTGCAAGCTGTTTCAATATCATACCATGAAAATTTTAAATTTTTACATGCTAAAATAAAAATTTAAACCAGAACTTTTGAAGCAAATAGTATATTCCAACACTCTACAATTAAAAGAAAATTATAAACAGTAATACTTGATGTGATTTTTTTCAAAACTTCCACTGTCCATTATCACTAATTTTAATGGAACTGAAATTTCCTTATCACAAATTAACTTTACATACCTAAGATCTTTTACCAATCTTGACCCCTGGGCTCCGACAATTTGTCCCAGGGTGCACTGGGCTGAGCCGATGAAATCCTGCAGGAATAAGGATCCATGGAAAAATATGGAATTTGAATTCTAATCATCCAATATTTAAGCATTTAATTTTCATAATTGTTAAATAATCTTTTCATATTTTTCTAATATTAAGTTTAAACGATTTTTGTTTTACATTAGTTAGCATTTCTCATAAGCCAACACCATAAGCCTATACCATATATACAGTACGACAGTGGGATTTTAATTTCTCCTCATAATATTCAACATTATCTATAATACCACCTCACCAGTATCGCTATCGGTAACATCATCACCACCATACTCAACATCATCACAACCCAGCAAAAGTGCAACTTTTTTACCACTTTTTAACCACTCTTGGCACTACCACCACCATAACATTATCACCACAATTACCATAATCAACATTCTAAAATAAATTTAAAAAAAAACAAACTTACATGGCTTGATAGATTATTACTTTTTGAGTCTGCATCGTAACTAAACATAAAAAAAAAAGACATTTTAAATCTAATTTATTGTTTTAGAGCTTTCTCACCTCCTGTTATTTAGTTGCTATGTCAGACACATGTCCATGGCACACATTATGTGGCATATTATAATCCAGTGTAGACACTCCCATCGCTTAAGCCCTCTCAGTCAAGACCCATATACAAAACTAAGAAAGAGGGGAGAGGAATGAAACTCATCCAGTGCAAATACACTGCCTATCAAACCAGACCCATCTGAGGCAGTAGGTGAGGCTTGCTAATAATAATGATGATGATGATGATGATGATGATGATGATGATAATAATAATAATAGATGGATTTATATAGTGCAAATAAACGAGGTCTCTATGCGCTTGGGACTAGATGTTGCACTTTTTAATAACTTTCTCCTCCCCTGAGGGACACTTCATGTCCTCTGCTGCCAGCAAACTGGCACACTCCCATCTGTCCACAACTAGTGCAATCGCACCTTACGTACCAGGCAGATAAGGAACTAGGTGGGGCAGGACAATACAGATACACACCTTTCACACTAGAGGTATCTAAGGAAATACCTGGGAAAAACTAGTGTTGCAGGCCCATCGTTTTAAACCATACCCATCTAAGGATGCGGGTGAGCTTACCTACAGTATTGCAGATACACCCCTCTCAAACCATACAACTAACTGATATAAACTGTTATAATAATCAGAATAGCACCATTTAAGCATACTTAAGTATTAGGTATTTATACTTACACATCAAATTTCAAAGGCTGGTGTTGTTCGAAAAAATAATCCACAACAAACTTTCGAGCAAAATCTGGGTTTAGATTATTATCGATAGTCTCCGTACGTCCACTCTTGAGATATAATAATAATAATTTAAATGTTATTAGTCTTATTCAAACAATGAAAACTACTGCAATTTAAGTTCAGTTTTATATCACATTAAAACTGTAGAGTAAAAGCATTTGCATTTATATTATGTAATTAATATGTAGTTTTAAGCCTTTTTAGTTCCATATTGTAATGCTTGTTTAAATAGTAGTTTCTAGTTCCTGTTTCAAAACCTTCCATGTTTAAACAAAATGAAAGGGACATCGGTATTCAGGCAAACCCTCCATGTTAAAAAAAATTAAAGGGACAGTTCCAAAATTCATCTTGCATGTTTATTCTTTATTTGGTCAATAAATGTCATTGATTAATTGGTATTTTATGACAATGATATTTCCTAAGTAATTGTTTAGTGTTCTCCCAACTGAAACAATTTTACTGGTAAATTTGTCAAAATAAAAATTCAGCTATGGGTGCAGTGTGAGGCATTACCCTCTTTTTGAGTGGGGTTTAATGACTTTAAAAAACAACACATAAATGCTTACACAACTGGAATGAGGTTAATTTACTGAAAGAAGGCCAGCCTAGACTACCTAGACCTAATCAATGTTTTTTTATTTTTTTATTTTACAACATTTTCACTGCCACTAGCTTTGGGAGAACACTTGCTTTAGTTTCTGTAACAATAACGTACAGATGTTTCTTTTAAAGATATGTTACTTACTTCTTGATATTGTCCTGTACGAGGATTTACAGTGTAGAAGACACAAACTAAAATATAAAATAAAGTTTAAAAATATGGATTTTTGTACATTCTAATATGAATTTTATAATCATCATGGAAAAGAAAATCTGATGAAGTTTAATTTATGTAAAGAAATCATAAAAATTCATTAAACTTTGTTGAGAACAATTATCAATCAAGGGCAGGCTTTGTATTTTACAGTCCTTGGTAATATTATTAATGGATTACCATACAACTCAAGGTTAGGCTGCTTTTGCAATACAGTATTATGGCTTAAAGCGCATTGTGGTGAAGCTTCAAAGGGTTTTCATGCCAAATAACTTCAAGGAATGTGAACATTGCAGTGGTAGTTACAGGAATTTGAAATAGAGGGGGGCCCAAGGCAGGATTTTTACAACAGATGGGTGGTGTATACGACCTCAGCCCCACCTTGGCCCTTGTCTCCCCCCCACCACCCTTGAATCCGCCACTGCTTGACATTTGCATAAATAGTAGTGACACTATTGTAAATGTAGTTTTACTAGATAGCAATAGCTGTATCGCTTCAAGCAATGGCAATTGATAGGTGACTAAAATAATAAAAGATTATCAAAGGCTTGGAATACAAGACAAAGTGTTTCCACACTGTATAAGGACATAGGACATCCATAAAAAAATACTAAACAAAAAAGTCAGTGGGTAAATACCATTAAAATGCTCTCTCATCATAAGTTGGAAGGATATCAAACACTGCAATTATACATTAAAACAAGATGATTACTTAATCACTAATGTGGACAAGCCAAACTCACTCATCGCAAAAATAGATTTTTAGTTATTAATAGACTTAAGGCCTGTTTATACTTGCAACAATAATGAAAATGATAAAATGCTAAAAAGCAATTGTTCATATAGAAAATGAAAGAAATAACAAAAGTTTTCACACTAGCACGATTCGATAACAATCTATCTTGTATACGATAAAAGAATGTTTTCACAAATCAAATCAAATGACATCGTAATCATGGGAAAACGATATAATCGTAGTAGTAAAACGATTTTATCGCTTTCCCATGATTATGACATCATTTGATTTGATTTGTGAAAATATTTTTTTATCCTATACACGATAACTTGTTATCGAATCATGCTAGTGTGGAAACTTTTGTTATTTCTTTCATTTTCTATATGAACAATCGCAATAGCTTTTTTTTTTTGTTATCATTGCTAGTATAAACAGGTGGTTTATCAGGCAGAAACCATCACCAAATCGTTAACAATTGTTGTTTTAAAATTAAAAATGTTTAAAATAACAGCATAGCATGATATAAGGTTAGTTCTGTGTAATAAAATAGATTTCAAAGAAGTTGACATTCCAGCATGTTTTGGCCAGTATCTCTGAAACAGGATTTGCGACATGTGACTGGTTTGGCTTGTTGTCATGGCAATTAGCAGGACTGTCAATCATTTTATTTATCCCAGATGGTTTTTGAGAAGGCACTTGACAAAAATTGGGTACACCCTCCAAATCTTCTCTTTGGCAATTGACATATAAACTGGCTTTAAATAAATGTTTTTCAACAAATACCTGGGAAAGGTGTGGGTTTCCTCAATCAGCAACATTAACAAAATGCTAAGGGGCCTACATTTCAAAACCTTTACATGTTTAACCAACTTCATTTAGTTTATGTTCTACCAAATTTTAACTATTTCATAAACAATTTAGTTAAATTAAAGTCTGAGTTTATCAACAGTGAAGTTTACTGTACTGAGAATGGAGAAAGTAGCAAACTGTTTTGTTTACATGTGCAAACAAGCAAAATAGCGGCAGTTAAACAATGGGAATTTAGTCCATGCAATGACAAAAGTGATGCGCACATGAATGACGTCATTATTTTCATTTTAGGGTACAAAAGGCAATATTATCCCATTATAGTTGTTAATCAATCAATAAATTAACAAGTGTTTGTAAAGCACCAATATCCACAGCAGAATGCAATGTTCAGTGGCACTATGACAAGTGCACGTTAACTACTGAGGTGGTGAACTAATTAACAATACATAATAATAATATATATAATATAAGATTACTAAAAAAAAAATTTAAATGTGTGTCAAAAAACTTGTTGTCTGTGTCTGTGAATAGCATCGTTGAAAGAAATTTATATGGCCTATATCACATTTTAATGACAAATTTAGGTATAATCAGCCTACACATTTTACCTTTTATAAAATTGTTATGATGTGTGAGATATTAAAGACAACATAGGCGTGAGACGTAAAAAGTGGATGCTCCCTACATGCCAACACTCCCGTTTTGGCCGGAAAACTCCTGGCCAATTATTTTTCTCACATTTTCTCACATGCTCTCCCAGTTTTACAAAGAAAATTGCATAGGCATACTAATCTTAATTGTATACAACTGTCTTTGTTGGAATAAAATACTACAAAAAACCTTGAGTATGTTATTTTAACCTCTATTTTTATAATGTATGTGTATATATTTATTGAAATGAAAATGTTCCCACCAGAAATTTCCTTCTTTAGACAATAAAGAAATGTTGAATCTAGAATATGTTTCAATATTTTGTTCAGCAACAGCATATAGCCTCTCCTTGAGTGGTGCGAGAGATGTGGATATGAGTGCTGCAAAGTTATGCTTGATCATGATAATTGATTACATGGTGTCAGTAAAGAATAAGTGCAAAAAAATTGAGATTCACCCTTATGATACTTTAAATAGTACACCCCCTGGACCCCCATGTAATAGTGAGGCCCTCTCCCCAACCCCCAAAGGCCAAGGCCCTCAGTGGCGCTTCACACTAAATTCTCTTGTTTTTTAATATCAAAATTTTGACATGCATGATGCACATGAGTGGAGTTGAATAGCTTTGTGGTTAAGATGATTGCCTTCCAATCCCAGGGTCCTGGAATCAATTCCTGTCAGTGTTGCAGAATTTTTTCTCACAACCAAAACAACTCCACTCCCTAAATCTCATATTAATGATTTAATGAGATTTAGTTTGTGTAAAGCATCGTGTGTGAATGTTTGTCTTTTGTAAGGGATTGTCACCTACAAGTAGGACAGTGATATATTCGCTATTGACAATCCTTGGCACATGTATTGTGTGCCTATATAAATTTTTAAAAATTAAAAAACTCACACATGGGCGAGACTCACATATTATGGGTGGAGTTGGCAGGTGTATACTTACATGGATCCGACTTTGAAAACACATCCATATCTCGAAGTTTTCTAGAATAGCAAACAGAAATACACTAGGAGTTAGTACTGTAAGTAATAATATAGTACTGCTGTAGGGATTCGGTAAGATACTATCTGCCTTGAAGCTACTGTAGGTAGGGCCTAGGTCTATTTCAAGTCTTTCGGCAATCTCCCACATTCATAGAGTGAGCGATCGCAATAAAAACATCCTGGATCTGGTTGGATATGGCGCTAATGTATTTTAGTACTGTAACACTTCTATCTTCAAAAATTGTCTTTTTACCTACTGTGTGAAAAAATGATATGTAAATAATTAGGAATGAAAACCACCAAAATATATAAAAAAAACACACCATGAAAAATGTTAATGATAGGCTTCTCGGAGGGTTCGCTAGCTCATAACATTCACAGGTCTGAGTAGCAACACATCATCGTCAACATACATAAGTTATTTGTTTTGTGTTTTACAGTAGTAAAATATATGATTTTTTACATGATTTCTGAATTTATGGAGCCATTAATTCAAAATTTCTCCGGCCCAGGTGAAAATACCTGCCCACTACGGGGCCTAAATTAGGCTACCTTAAAGGCGTTAGGCCCAGGCCTACACACCCACCCACCCCCACTTATCTTACGTACCGACACGATACAGTGAGCTCCACTTTCGTCGATGGATTAGCTGTTGCCGAGCCTGGCTGAAACCCTCCTCCTGAACTATTCATTTCGTGATAATCGTCTTTCCAAGTCTGCTACTGAATAAGAAATAACTGTTTGTGTTATTGCAATAAATGTTTACAAATCATCCATGACACATACTTTCCCAGTCAATTCCAGGATGTACGACTACCGCACGTACCAAGATCAGTAGGAGTTCAATTATTATAGGTCCATGTTCTGATTACAATACTCTTTCCAGTAACCTTTAACCTTTGAATGATGTAATTTGCTATTAAAAGTACGTTTTTAACATCTTTCAAATACGATCCTCCCAACTACGAACTCTCTATTTTACGAACGGAGATGAAGATAATAGGCCTACTCTATCGAAAAATAATATCAGCCCCACCATGGCTGGGGCTGAGGTGAGAAAATTTGAGGAAATAGTACCTCTCGAGATGGCCGGAAATGACACTTTTATATAATAAAATTCATCATCATCACATTACCATTATAGTCAAAATGAAATGCCAACAAATTTCTCATGATCTTTTATCAGGAATCTACTTAATATCCAGGACAACTTAGGCCTAATTATAACTTACTAAGCTTTAACTATATATACTATAGTATGATCAACAAATCACAACCTTTTTTCGCATTTAGCACAATTTTCTTCACTTTTTATTGCTATTAATATTATTATCAATTATTACTATCGTCATTATCATCATTGTTATTATTATTATTATTATTATTATTATTATTATTATTATTATTATTATTATTACTACTATTAGTAGTAGTATTATTAAACTAACATTTAAAAAAACTTGCAAAAGGAGAAAAACGAAATTGAACCACAATATCGCATTTCTATCTTAAAAGACCTGGCCTGAGATTTATGGATTTAAGATTTTTTTAAATCAGGCTTAGGCATATGTGTTCTATTAGGCCTATGTATAACGTGTACTGATGCATATTTACATGTTCAGAAGTATTCATTTTAAATGATGGAAAGAATTTGTATTGGCTCAAGAATAAGTTTTAAAATGTTAACACTGTGTACCGGGGGGGGGGGGCCGCGTCTCCCCCCCCCCCCGGATACGGCCGCGTCTCTCCCCCCCCCCCTGGATACGTCCCTGGTATGAGATCAGTTTTTCGTCAATGCTTTTCATCCAGAGCCTCAATTTAATCGATAATAAATCTTATACTAAAGAGAAAAAATATCAGTTCACCCAGACAATGCCTTAGAATTATTGCGACATTTGGGACAGTCCCACATAATTTTGTTAATGGATCCACAAAAAATGGGTTCACATTTTTAAAAATGGGTCAAAATTATGCAATTTTATACATAAAATGGATCCACTTTTTGAAAAATGGGTCCAGATTTCTTATTTAGCCTAAAATGGGTAAAATTTTAAGAAACTAGGTCCAGATTTTTCATATAATTGGTCCACATTGTTTGAATTTACGCATAAAGTTGGTCCACCCTGATATTGTCCCACACTGTTTGAAAATTCTGGCCACGGCATTGATCCCAGAGTTCACAGACTTGTGTCCTGAGTTTATGTCAAGAGGGATCATTGAGTCTAGTACAATGGAATTGTAATGTAATTGGGTGTGTATTTTTCTTCTTGTTAGGACTACTCAAGCCTTGCCTGTGGTACTTCTTTATACCCTGCCGCTATACATAAAACGTGGAGCCAGTATGCTGGCGCTTGTTTTTGTACTATGCCTACTTTATTCACTACTGCTATATACTATGTACAATATTTACAAGTTGCTTGACGTGGTGTTGCCTTCAAGGCATCAGAAGGAAATCCTTTACATCACAATTCCTTTACTTTTCATTGGGGGTGTGGTGGACTTTCATTGGTTGAAAGATGTCACATTATCATGACCATTACATCGCTTTTGGGAGTTTCTATTGGTCAGATAGTATTAAAACTTTGGGGAAAACTGAACTTATATTTAGTATAAGCTGTCTGTTAATCAAGTTTTATAAATCAATGTAGGGACTTGACCATTTGGGCTTTTCACAAACAGACTTTTATACAGTAATTAAGGAGACATTAGGTTTAAGGTTAGTGAGGTAAATGTTCAGTACAATGATACAGTTGATTTGGCCTATACAAACAATTACATTATTAATATTTTAATCATCTTAAAGATAACAGAATTTACCCTAATAATTTTCCCTATTCAAAACCTATCACTTGTGGTCTGTCAAATAGTGGTCAGGTTAAACCTGACTAACCGTACCTTTGGCTTCGGCCCTGTACTGATACCATTTATTTCTTCTTGTTGGGATTAGTCAGATTTCAACATGACCACTTTTTGACAGACCACAAATGTATTCATAATGATTTGTAATTAAGTCTATTTTTAATTTAAATAATATAACTTGTTGATTTGTATACTGTAATTTTGTATCACAAAACAGAAGACCATATGTAGAACAGGCTATTACACCTTCCTGATATGTTAACCTGTATAAATATGTTCAATAAATAAAATAAATATTTGGAGTAAAAAAAAAAACATTTAGAATACAATGACAAAAACATGATTAAATAACTAATTATTTTATGAACTCAGTCATCGGAAAAAAGTTTGATGTTAATACCTGTTGAAACAAAATCTGTAACTAATTATTTTATGAACTCAGTCATCGGAAAAAGGTTTGATGTTATAATACATGTTGAAACAAAATCGGCAATGTGGTTGACTGGGTATTCTCCAAAGAGTAATGCCGCAAGTGGAATCAGTGGGGAAGAGCGGCTCCGTCGGACATCTTAGCGCCCCCCCCCCCCCCCCCCCACCCCAATACATTATATCCTAGAGCCGCCACTGTATACAGGTACTGGTGTTCTTATTTGTGTTGTGATTGAATATAATGTTGAATTGTACCATGATTAAGTAGCAAACAATATTAATAAACAATAATATCAAGGCTCTTAGATTTGTCATGGTCTTCATATAGCATGAATAGTTTGTTGCTGCTTTTTCTTGCATCTGCATCCATTCTTCCATATGTCGATGGATGTACCTTGCGATTAAAAGGCCATTGGTGCGATTTATTCGTTCCCCACAATTTTTATTTACTTTCCTGAACGGACGTTGGATCGTCTTTGGTTGGTTCTTCTTTGTATCGTACATAAAAAAAATAACTGCACTATAGCTAATAATAATTCGTATAAAAGGAAGATACAGTGATTTAAGAAACGTACATTTTTTAATTTCGAAGAAATCTGCAGCATTGTAATAAGTACGGTAGAGTATTAATCGATCGAATCACCACGTTTACTGAATTTGAAGTAGCACATAAAGGATATTGCTGACAAACTTTCATTACAAATTAAGAGAAAACTGGTACAGTACTGCATTAATGTCATCAAATTCATCTCCGATTATCATTTTAAAGCTGAAATATACATAAAAAATCCTTTAAAAAAATGTCCCCTTTGTCGTCTTTTGTTCAGATGATACATCTGTAAATGCTTTTAAAACTACTCTATAACCATGATTAACACTACTAATGTATTTTCATAGTGCAAACTTTCAATAACATATTACAGAAGATGACAATACTGTATATTTGTTTTATTGGACTACCATAATAGTAATATAAAAATATTGAATTTAATTATGAATGAGTTTGACCAACGATGTATTCTTCGTCATGGCTCCTTTCCAATTTTCCCCAGGACAAACATATAAATATAGATGTGTATAAGAGACAGGTAGGGGATGTCTCCCCTCCCTGTCGGGGACATCAGGCCCTCTCCCCTTTGGCAAATATTGGCACCATCCCTATATAAAATGTACACAAAACAGGCAAACACAGTAGCTACTACTAGTCTAATACAGGAAATGTTTTAGTACGTTGTTTTTTTTTAACAAAAAAACTAAAACAAAAACACAGCAATCAGCAAGCTAATTTCCAATTATTTATACGCAGGTAACAAATATTTGTCTACGCAAAACTATTTTTCTACCAGAGGTAATCTTCTTAACACCCACCTCATCTAAATCACAAAATATTCATAATGAATACTTTACTATAATACTAAAAAGCATCGTTCAGCAACATGTGGGTCACAACCAGACGTTTGGTTCACAGACAAACCAAACAAAAATTACAGTAAACAAACGTGCATAATTATAGTGTGGCAAATGCGTGCATTGTCAATAATAGTTTCATGTTCAATAAGTCTCCCGAATCGCTTGCGATTTTTAAAAAAGTATTTGGGAAGGTACCGATTACGATAACACGTCTGGTGGGGCAAACAATTATATGAGTAATTCCAAGTTGTATTAATTTCATTTTGAGGAAGTTTTAATATATTTTGTGGGTGATATGAAGAATCTTTTATGAATTAAGTAGTATCTTTCAATTGGTTACAAAAGGATCAAGTTGGCATGGTTCTGCTCTGACCTCCGCTAGCCTCGCACCTATAAAACGATGGATGTGATCACCTGGATGTGATTTAGTGACTTAATCACTCAAACTCAAAAAAATAGTACCATATTCAATAAATTTACAATGAAATTCAGGTGATTAATTGGTCCTTCAGGTCCGACGGTTTGCGTCTGAGTGCTTGACATTTAATTTGGGCTGTGGGCTAAAAAGGTTGCGGAACGGGGCTATAAAGTAATGTAGAAAGAAACACTAGTTTAAATAAGATTTCAAATACATTTAATAAGAAATGCTAAATCTTCATGTTCATGTACACAATAGTGGTGGTACACACATGGTTCAACCACCATCTAGACACATCTTACAGTAAAAAAAAAATCTAATTGGGAAAATAGAAGATTTGAAGTAAACAGTATTTCTCTACACCTAATTAAAGTTTTGTTTAAGACTGGTGCAAGTAACAATTCCTACAGTCTACATTACATTTCACCACATAAACCTCTGAATGTCATTAGAGTTAGGCCAGGTAAATGGTTTGTATGCAAATAAAAAGAGAGTAATGAAATTAATCACTTGGTAGAGAATAAACTCAGTAATAAGTTGCAAGTAACTACCAGTAGACATATGCAGCCTAGTCAGTAAATATGGCACTATGAAGTACCTAAACTCCATGAGTTTCTGAGGGACCGTTGCTGCAGCAATGCATATAAAAAACACTATCTTAAAGAGATACGTCCCAGGCTCTGTATCTAGTGAATCAAATATACTCCATCCCCCGTAAAGGTAAATCGGTATGAGCGCTAGGCGTACCAATTCATGCCGACTGTATATTTTCATCCATACGTAAAATGTATAATGGCGGTTGTCTGCAACAAGATACGGGTGAACGTATGTAAAATTCACGATGATAACAGTTGAGATGGCAACAAGGATGCCTAGAATGAAAACATTACGCAAACATGCCTTTATGAATGAGATTACCTTGCTGGGTGTGATCAGAAATGGTGCACCCAAGCCTAGTGTGAAACTGAAGAAATAGAAAATTTGAGGGAAGTTTAAAACAGCTTGATGACTACTTCTGTCCCCAACTACTATACCATTATTCATATAAATAAACACTGCAAACCCAAACATTAAAAACAAATATGGTGATAATAGAATTAAAAGAAACATAACATTTGGGACTTTATACAGGTGTATTAATACTGATTTAACAGCTGTAGTAATAGACTGGATGACAAGGGAATGTGAGATATACATCTCTAATTTAGTATTTTTCTCAACTTCTCTTGCTACAACGATCCCTGCAACAAACACTACCCAGATAATGTTGGTCTGCCTAAACATCATTGCACACGCTCCATAGAATGCGGATGGTATATGGCGCTCTTCTAGGTAACGTAAGTACATGAGAAGCACAAAAAAGGTGGATGCAACGTCAGTATAGTAAAGAAAGGTGAAGAAATACAACAGTGGAAAAGTCATCAGATTTACCGACGTCATTACATATCTTGAAGTAGAAACATTCTGAAAGCAATGAAATAAAATTTGGTTAAATATAGGCCTTGAATCAATACCTTTTAAAATTTTAAAATAATAAAGATTTCGATTAATTTTTTCCAATGAAAACATGTTGAAATATATTTGTACACAGTATAAAAAATTATATATCTTAGTATCTTTTATGCAACAAAAAATATCATAGCAATTATTATTATTACAATAAAATGTAACTGAATTGGGACATTAATTTCAAACATAATTTAATTAAATGAAAGTAAATACCAGGGGTGGATTCCGAGATGTCCAAAAGGAGGCCCAAAAGTGGGGCTGATCAAGACAACACTACCCTAGGGGGTCCGGAATATTTTTTTTCTAAACGCCCAAAAATAACCTCTGAGGCGATCAATTATTACTTCTCTTTTCTTTTTTTTTTTACTTTCCAAATTTGAGGGGAGGGGGGGCTGCAGCTGGCAGATAACATGCACTTTATAAATAAATACATTAACCTTTTTAATTTTACAGAACAGTGAATAGTTTTCTAAATTTTAGTATTTTCCATCTGCTCATTGCTGAATAAGAATTGCAAGAACTTTGTACTAACTTTTTCATATTTATTTATTCGTTTTTGTAGACAATAAAGTAACCAAATATTTCCCACGGTGAATATGATATTTGTGGCTCGTAGAAAAGCAATGTGGCAGATATCATTGACATCTATCTTGGTCAGGTACGAAATAGGCTTGAGTAAAATTACTGACATAATATAAAGACCGGGTAATGTTGTTATCATTGGATCCCACTGTAAAAATAAACAAACAAAACAAAATATGAAGACTTTCTTTTAAGCTTTAAGCATAGAAATATTATCTACATCATTCAAGTAACGTTATCAGTATATAAATGTATAATTCTAAATACATAAAATGTATTGTTTAAATATTCTCTAATGATAGTGCAAACTTTCAATAACATATTACAGAAGATGACAATACTGTATATTTGTTTTATTGGACTACCATAATAGTAATATAAAAATATTGAATTTAATTATGAATGAGTTTGACCAACGATGTATTCTTCGTCATGGCTCCTTTCCAATTTTCCCCAGGACAAACATATAAATATTATTATTATATTAATGCCTCATCAGTTGAAATCAACCATAATATTAGTTAATTTTGGCCCAAAATTGGGCCAGGGTTGGGGTGTCTGGCATTTCACCATATATCACATTACATACCACTTCCCTGATTAGGAATGTCATATACAAGCCCTAGGCCTACTTGGTTGGACGGATACCTTGTCATACGACCCATTGCAATAGTGTTTGGCCTGTGGTACATGAAAAATCTCGTCCATGTAGGCGGTCGGTTGCACATTTCTAAACCACATAAATATTGCGACTGTTGGTACAAGAGAGCACAATGAAGTCAAGTAAATAACCAAATTGTTCTCTCTCTTCTTGGTTTTAGGCATGTTAATCGGTATAGGATGTATTTAAAACAGAAGGCAAGATCAACTAAGAACCAACAACCAACAGCCGTTGTATTGTATTGTTTATGCTAGAACGCTATACAGAACTAAAGCTGGAATAATTGCGAGCCGACACGAAGTTTTCAAATTGATTTTGCCAACCACAACCGCATAGATTTGTCTTTATAACATCAAGCCAAACCACCACAAGAGGGAGACTGTTAGTAGTGTCACTTTACATAATAATAATAATAATTTTTAATTCGTTATTATGCTAGGCCCTGTAAGGCGGTAAGGTATGTAGGCCTAAGCTATATATGTATGCATCATAGAATATGGTAATCCTGAGTTATTTTATTATCGACGGGCGCACAAAATTGACATAGACCTAGGTTTAGGGCTTACTTAGTTTAAGCCCTACTCTAGGCTGGACAGTAGTAGCCTGCGGCGCTCTAGTTGCGGGCCTAGCCTAGGCCTAGACACTCCTGTGGCCTAAACATTTGACCCAATGTTTAAACGTTCAAGATTGCATATTTGCCAGGCCTAGGCCTACAATGATTAAATGAGTAGCTAGAGGCCTAATTTAATTAATCTGTTCAAAATTACTGTCTTATTTAGGTTGGATAGAAAAATGCCGAAAAACGGATTCCTAACACCAAAGGCAATTGCAAATCGTATCAAAGCAAAGGGACTGCAAAAGTTGAGATGGTATTGCCAAATGTGTCAGAAACAGTGTAGAGATGAGGTTTGTTAAATATCTACTTGACTTAAGAAGCAAACATTAAACATTAATACATGTAACACAAAATCATGAAATGAGCATGAAAAATCGGAAAAACTAAAGAAAATTGAATTGTAATACAGAATAGCTTGAAAAGGATCAAAAGATAATATTAAGAAGTATGTTTTTAATGATTTACAGATCTATTTCTATTGAATAAAAAACTTTGATTTAACCAGCCTATTTAAGGGTCTATGCCAGAATATAGAAACTGTTATTTATACATCTGTTGTTAATTGGCAAATATTGGAATATTTTATCATTTTAATTACCAATTGAAAGCTATTAATAATCAAATATTTGATATTATTTTGATGCTGTTTTACAGATGCTATATCATTGATGATTGCATTATATTGAAATAATGTTTTTCCCACGTTTTTTTCTCTTCAGAATGGGTTTAAATGTCACACGATGTCAGAGTCTCATCAGAGACAGCTGCTGCTCTTTGCTGAAAACCCAGATAAGTATCTGGATTATTTCTCAGAGTAAGTATCAGGAAAAATATAGTTCCTTTCATTTTCTCTCCAAAGAACGAGACAATGAAAGACTGACCAACAAATATAGCAACTTAAATGCTAAGCTTACCCAAGCAAAGTATTGGAATGTTCCAAACAAAAAATGTCTGTGCCATCTTGCTGTTGACTTTTTTTAACCATAAAAAAAGATCAAATTAACATTATTATTATTTCTTCATAAGGCTGCCCACAATATTTTATTAACAATCCTAATTTTGAATATATTAATACTTGATGTTTTCTTTTTTTAGGGAGTTTTTGGATGGTTTTATGGAGCTATTGAAGAGGCGGTTTGGGACAAGACGTATCCATTCAAATGTTATATACAATGAATACATCCAAGACAGAGATCACATACATATGACATCTACGCAGTGGGAAACACTAACCGACTTTGTAAAGTGGCTTGGAAGGGAAGGTAGAGGAATTTAAACTTTGACCTTTTTCCTAGTATCCTATAATAATAATCTGCTTTGTGGTATCCCCTCAGTTCCAGAGGCTGCTCCATAATATTTGTGAGGGGTGTTCTTACTTAGGCATCTGAGCAAACCAATATTTTGCCACAGACAGTAATGATGATTGAGCTATTAAATGTACCAAATAAAGCTTTGATTTATCATTTCTTTTGAAGGTTATGTAACTGTTGATCACACAGAGAAGGGTTGGTTTATTACCTACATTGACCGTGATCCGGAAGTTCTTGCCCGACAGAAACTGTTGGAGAAGAGGGAGAAAATTGAAGAAGATGATGAAGAAAGAATGCAAAAGTTTATTCAGAAACAGATTGAGAAAGCCTCTGAAACGGAAAAGAATAAAGTAAACGTTTAACTTTTATCTGTGGTAACAAAATTGTACTTTCAGAAACAAGTATTTGTACGAGAGAGCAAGAGAAGATGGGATGATAATTATAATAATGGTAGTCTTATGTAGCTCATTATTGTTAAGCCATCTATGCGCCAAACATTATCATTACTCCGGTCTTTGGATTAAATGCCTATGGAACACTCAAGCTTCCTGGGGGAGGATTCCATAAAGTCAGTGAATTTTGGCATTTAACCCTACCAAATACCCACTTATACTCCTGAGTGGAAAGAAGCAATGCAGATAAAGTTCCTTGCCCAAGGACACAAGTAGGATATTCTTTTCTTACATTAAAGATAAGTCAAACATGTTAATAATTGAATGAGAGGTTGTGTTAAAATTTACTTAAAAATAAACAAACCTATTTATCTCTGGCAGCAACAACTATGTTAACTGTGTTTACTTTTTCAGAATGAGACAGTTTATACAGAGCTCAAGCGTGATGATGAAGATGACAAAATCACTTTCAACTTAGGAGCAAAGTCAAGTAAAGATGAAGGTTTAAAGCCAGGAACATCTGGAGAAGTAAAGAAGTAAGAATGATTTTGATAAGTAAATTGATGCCAATCAGTCAGTCAATTATTGTAAATCAATTGATGTCAATCCATCAATCATTAGTCATTCATTCAATCAATCAATCTTTAATTTTTATGTGTCATCAATCTCACACATCAGTGTTGGTATCTGGTATGTGATTGATGACACATAAAAATTAGAGACCAAATTGATTGAATGACTTATTGCTTCATTAAATCAATCAATCAATCAATGTGGTCCTTTAGTGTTTATCAGTCAAAGTGCAGACATCTGTAACAGTGCTGGTAACATTTCATTTATGTAAATACTGTAGAATGATATGATCATGGAGGTATTTTATACCTCCATGATATGATAAAGTAATTCCATTCTATTGAGACCTCACAATTTTCATACCTTCCACATTGGTTGGAATAATGCATTTTTGAGAAAGTTTATTGATATTTGTATTTATCAAAATTTTAGAGAGAAGGCTGTCACTAATGCTTTGAAAGCTGCAGAGTCAGCATTGTCAAGTAAAAAGAATGAGAAGGATGATCGCAAAAGAAAGAAATCAGCCTTAGAGGAAATAAAAGAGGTGAGTGCAAGAATGAAAAAGACTTTTGTGTGTATAAATCAGAAAATAGTATGTATTAGAATTAGAATCAAATTTATTTGTCCTTTTTGGAAATTACAATGGAACACAATTGTTGTAACGTGTATTTCTGAAATTCGAAAGTACTGCACAATAAAATATTCACACCTACTCTTATAGCCAGAGGTATATGAATATCCAAGAAAAAGCACATACTTTTATACCTAAGGTTTAGTAAAAATGTATGGGAAAACATACCCCTACTTTTAGTCAGTGATAAGTAAATTAATTTCACAAGTTTGTTGTTTTTTTTAGATGGAAGAAAAGAAAAAGAAGACAGAGAACCCAAAGAAAGATTATTGGCTGGCCAAGGGAATTGTAGTAAAAGTTATCACCAAACGATTAGGGGAGAAATATTATAAAAAGAAAGGAGTTATAAAAGTAAGTCATAAGGAAGGAGACAAACTTAATAACTCATATGTTTTAAGTATTTAATGAAATTGCTTAAAAATTATATTTGTGGTAAGGAACACCAGGACAAGTTGGAAATATTTAAATGCTTCTTTATATAACTATATTATGTAATTAATTAGCTTTAGAATAGTACAGTATATGACTTTTTAATGTAAAGTGTTTTTTTTGGAGAACCTGTCGACTAATATTTTTATAACATTTAGGTAATCCTGCCTAATTGAATTATTTTCAAAAGGCATAATAAAATGTGTGATAAATAAGTCATTATTGTTAATCAGGAAACAATTTTAAGAAGTTGTTAAGGCGAGAGTGTTTTTATACCTTGTTTGCAAACTTATTTTTCATCAGAGGAGGGTGGATATAAATAAGTGTTAATAGTTTTGCCAAAAACACCTGGGTGGAGGAACAAATGAAAATGAAATTTTATTGTTGAATGTAAACATTTTAGTAATGGGATGTTGAAATGCTTTAAATTTATATAAATTGGAAGAAATATACATACTGTATCTAATTTTTGGAGATTTCAAGGCAGCGGTGGGCATAATAAAAATAAAGAAAAACTTTTTTATTTAAAATATTTTTCTGAAATTTCCATTTTTTGTGGCAGTGGGTGAGCTTAGTGGCCAGAAATAAAATATTATTCTTATTCGAAGTCATCAACAATGATGGGTTGCGAGTTCACAAAACAAGATATAAAAAAGTATAGCCTAACATTGTATAAACTAATAATATTTTTAGGAAGTTCGTGATTTGTACACTGGGTTGGTAAAGATGACAGATTCAGGAACGACGATTAAAGTTGACCAAATGCATGTAGAGACTGTCATCCCTGCTGAAGGTATGTTTGTTATTCCTATATTTTATAATAAATGAATCAGGAATGGGAAGTGAGGGTGGAACAAGTTATGGGAATTTGAAGCGCATTTCTCATCATCATCATCATCATCATCATCATCTGTTTTCCCTGCATGTGAGGGTTAGATTGTTAAAGAGCTGTGCAGTTTTGTTAGGTGGCTGTATCCTACAAAAGACCAGGTATTGCGAATTTAGTAGGGGGCACGGAGGCATGTGCCCCTTCCCCCATTTTGCCACTAAATTTTAAAAATGTCAATGCAAATCAATGTTATGTGCTACTTAATTGGTGATCCGCAGCTAGTGCGGATCACCTATTGTTATTGTCAGGATCATCATCTTCATCTTCTTTTTTTTATTCTTCTTTCTTTCTCCCCTTTTTTGTTCGCACGATATATCAAAAACTGCCACGAGTTACGCACAATTGCTGTCAGCGAACATTTGGCT